CAAATTATGCTTTTGTTTGCTTCTTTAAAATGTTGTGCGCGTTTTGTTGCCTTCTATATCGTACTTTTCGTTCGAGCGAATTGCCCGGCCTGACTCCAGCTTGGAATTAATGTGACCCTAGCACAAAATTTAAAGCTTCTACGTCTACCCGCCGGGTACTAGTAGTAGTCACGTTGTCAATTTGTGACTTTGAGGATCAGACGCCTACGCTATTTTCCGTCTCGTAAACGGTCGATGCCATTTGAAACGGTCGATGCCATTTTGCTGAATGGTCAATGTCATATCCGAGCGTCCAAGAACGACTAAAAAGTAATATATACTATAAAAATTAATATTCTAATTACCTCCGGGGAAGGAGATATCCTTCCGCGAGGAGGTTTTACTATGGTTCGAAACATTTCTGTCAGCAGCTGTTTCTCGCGATCGGCTGGACGGATTTGTCTGTGGTTCGGTATACGTAGATGCAGATGATGCAGAACGTTTTTGTTTAATTGCATATGTGTTTATGGGCGTCGAAATAAAAGGTTTTTAAGTGCTCCGGACACCCCCGCCATGCTGAAAATGGTAATTACCATGTTGTTAAGGAATGGGGCGGTTGCAGTTTTGGGTCTTAGCATTCAAAAGGGGTCAAACAGAGGGGTGTCTGGTTCTGATAAAAATTTTGGGTGACGGCGCAGCAATGACGGCGCGGGATGACGGCGGGGGTAATGGCGCGGGTGACGGTGCAGGCTGTCAGACTGTGAGACACGTTAATCAACAGTCCATACCGAACCAGCCGTCAGTAGCCATCAAACACATACAAACATATTACGCACATAACTTTCATACTACACACAAACAAATAACCTAAACCAATAGAACAAAAAAAAAACCGGAGGTTTGAAATCTACGATTTCCCTTGTTGCAAATATAAGGGAGGGTCATGTAGAATTGTAAATATTAGTGAAAAAAAGCACCCGGGTCCAAAAGTGTAACTCCAAAACCCTAACCCTAACTTATACCCTAACCTCTACGCCACGAAACATCACGGTGTGGATGGACCGTGCTGATACACTTAAAGTTAGCCCTTCTGCGATATGGCATCGACCGTTTCCAATGGCATCGACCGTTTACGAGACGGAAAAAAGCGACGCGTACGATATGCGATGACGCATTTCTCCTGACTATTTGCTTCCTGGTACCGGTGTTGAGCCAAAGCCTCACTTAACACACGAGTACACTAGTGTTCTTTTCATAACTTAACGCGATACAATGTTGTATATATATATTTTGCGCTAGAAAATACCAATTTCTTTAAACATTGACGTTTAGACTTTCAGTATCAATAATAGTTCGTTTTGAAAACAAATAGCCAGAAAAACTGTGACGAAGCTGTAATTAAACAAATCCTCGGAAGTGTCCTGTCAGTCGGAGGGTGGTCCGCTGTTAACAGATATGTCATTTTGGTATTTTCTTGGCGCCATAAAAACGCTGTATACGCGTCAATTTCCGGATAGGCAACATGAAAATGCTGTCGACACGGCGCCAATGCGTTGTGTAGTAGTACCAAGAAGATTCTAACAGACTAAATTAGACTCGGTACTGAGTCTCTAGCAGACTTTAGAAGCGGCTAGAAAGAGTAGAAATTGACCAAATAGACAGATAATATACCAGGGAGGCCCACGGCTCGGTCCAGACCCACCATACGTGCATCTGCGTATTGTCTACGGGCAAAAACATGGGCAAATTTTTGGGATCGTAAGTGGTGCGTTGACTGTACTGTTCATGCCAGTCCTTCCCCACGTTTTTAGAAAAACGTGGCGGATGTGGCCTCCCCCAACGTACAAAAACACGTATGGCAGGTTGTGACATAGTTTGCCGCTCCCGAATTGTACTCCTTTGGCTGGCCAACTCCCCTGGCATCATAGTGGCATGTTATCTATCTATTTCGTCAATTTTTAGCTACTCTTTCCAGCCACTTTTGAAAGCTGGTAAAGGCTATGTACCGTTAGCTAATTAAATGATCTTGTTCATGACATGTACACCTGCAATTGGTTTGAATCTCCAAGTGTATGAACCGGTCGAGAAAAAGTTGTTAGTCTTTGACGACCTTTTGTGCGTTTCTAATGTCTGTCTGAAGTGATGTGTGCTTTCTTTGGATTACAAGTGTACAGTCGGTTGCAAACTGAGACTTGGCAGGACTAACTACGGGCAAAAACATGGGCAAACATGCTTCATCTGGAAAACGCAATAGCCTGGTTTGCAGTCTATCGTGGTTGTGGCAGGCTGTATTAGTAAGTCTCCACCAGACTGATAACGCGGGTTCAAAAACAGTAACATTTAGCCAAATAGGCATATCTACAGTAATCAAGTCCAGTAAATTTTATTTCGCTACAATTGTAACAGGTACAATGTATGGCAAGATCTTCAGAGGTACTACATATCTAGCTGATATCTACTCTATTACGTCTACAGTAATGCTTATAAGTTCTATATGTCGAGATTAACACTATACTATTTCATTGAGGTGTTAAAATTTTTCGGCGTAGCGCACACGCACGGCAATTTTACTCAACTCAGCTGTAATCACTATATACTTACTCATCTGCCTATAAGAGAAGGTGTGAGTTACTGTACATGATAATATACAGGAGTTCTACATACGTAACTACATAACCAGTCACTATCGGCCGGGGAGTTCAGCACAGTTAACCTCTTCCCGTGCAAAAGACCCAAATTTTCTTGGAGGCAGCCCTGGGAAACAGTCTGGTACCCAGGCTAAGGGTAAAGGAGGGTGCGTTCCCAAAATGAAGCCTCGGCTTTGGCAAGGCGGTTATTATAGTCTATATAACCGCCTTGATCTGAGCAAGGGGGCGGCTTGATCTGAGAATAGTGATTACATGCACTGTGGGCGTCGACCGGGAGATTTGGTCAATGTCCGTCCTTGACACTACACACCTTCAACCGAAGCACACCAGTCGGTCTGCCCTACTTCTAAATTTGTAGTATACATGTACCTATAATTGCCAAGGGAGACAGGGGGTGTATTGTCTTGTCATAATTATGATAATTAGGTCCGGCGCCATCTTGGTGCGTCATCTTGAATACGTCAGATCCAAATGTTTAATTGTTTGGCAGGTAAGTTGTAAAATATCCAGCTCCCTTGCCCATATAGGGTGCTAGTTTAGGCGTCGGATCATATTTGACGTGTTTTTTCTATGATTTGCCGTTTTTATTTATCGGCCATTTCTTTTGCCAATACGTATATGATATTTACAGGTGGCCTATTGGATGCTGTCTAGCCAATTTAGATACTATATTTAAGCTGGTGTGTTACGCCGAAGGGCGGTTATACCGGCTATACAGATACAGATATTGCAAAAAAAAAAATACAGATTAGAGATATTAAAGGAAGGAAAAACTGGATTTTAAAGTCAACTTTCTGGTCATTCTTTTGATATAGTATTAAAGATTAATCAATCCTATTCTATAGTATAACATTCTGATATCTGTTAAGCAAAATACGGTGTCGCTCACAGAAAAAAAATTTCCGAAGTTGTTTGTATAGTATGCTGGTTCTAGCTATTTATGGGCGGTACCCCAAAATGAAGAGACGACTCACGTAGCTTGTTTTTGGACTGCTTCAGACGTTTTAAGTATCGAATGTGCTAAGAATCCAGTGCAGTTTTTTGGGCTTGGAAACCGGAAACCAGAATTTTCAAAGTCAATATTCTAGTCACTTATCTACATACTATGATAAAACAACACTATCCCAATGTATCACAACATTTGTGGAGCAAAAGTGCCAAAAATTATGACGAAATTAAAAACGGTTACTGGAAGGACCTGGACTGATTTTAGGGTACCACGCAGAAAATAAAGGACTCATCTCGGGGCTAGTTTCTGCAGTTTTAAATGCCTAGTGAATGAAATACTGATTCAAATGTATTAAAGTGGGACAGTATGTGTCAATATCATACATGTTGCCTTATTCAGAATATTTCCAGTTTTGCTGCCCTGAAATTGGATGCCTTTTTAAAAATGTCAGTATCAGGAATTGCGTGAGATATCGTAGCGTGCGAAGCGCGCACCACAACCATCATACCTGTCTTACTCAACTCAGCTGTAATCACTCCACAATGTACGTACTTACTCATCTTCCTAAGTGTAGGTGTGAGTTGCGTAGGTAGTAAAAGCTCAGGTGGCCTGCATAGCATCCGTGTTAGACATCTAATGATACTAATGAAAGAAATTGTGGATGGAAAACAACTTTTCCAGGCGGTGCACTTTTTCACTTCTCTAGGTAACAACAAGTTGAATCATTGCCGCTTACAATTGTTATCGTGCAAATACTTTGAATGACTTTAAACTCATTTAAAACGCAGGCGATATTTGAAAAAAAAAGCAACTTAAAGTTAGACATAATCATTTTTGTTCAAACAATGAAATAATACTTTGTTCGTGGTTTGATATGAAACGGCTATATCACTATAACAACATCTGGATAAAAATCAGAACTGCTGTAGTGTGACTGCTTCGCAAATGCTAGTTAACATTTCATCAGCATTTGGCCTTTTTACGTCGATGAAGGTTAGACATCCAGGTAATACGATACGCCAAAAAGCAGTTACTCAAGCAACTGGATATGATTTTGGAAACGGTCAGACGTTTCAGGTAGCATCCACTTCTTTTCGTCAGTACTGACTGAGAGACCAGAGGAAAATACATGCTTGAGTAACTGTTTTTTTGGCGTTAGGCCTTTTTAACTTTGCAATGAAAGACATTCTGGTGTTGTTTTCTTTCTTCCTTTTGTTTTCTTATGTTTTTATTTATTTATTCTTTTTTAGAAAATAAACAACGGAGGGTACAACCAACTTTAAACCTCCTTGGTTCAACGGTGTTTGGCCACAACAATGCCGGGTTGGAAAATCTGCAGTTCTCCAAGCCACCGCTAGATGATGTCTAACCACAACGTAGTCCCCTTGGCGGAAGTACGCGGTGTGCCCCCAAGTGGTGCGTGGTGCGGCCCGGCCGGTGCTGTTGCCCGCAGTGTGTATCCATGCGCCCAAGAATAGTGGTGACTTGTGAGGAGTTCGAATCCCACCCTGGGAGGGCAGCCTTAAGGACTTGACCGATGCCTAGCCAAGTCAGCCCGAGCTCAGGACACCAGTGTCGGTGTAAGAGATGATGGCCAGGGCAGGGTTGCTGCTGCTCGGCAGCCTGTGCGCGGCTTTCCAAGGTAAGCGTGCTAGCTGGTACCGCGGGGCGATGGGGGTTCGCAGCCCGCTAGAGGCTTGCTTGAGTGCCCGTGAAAGACTCCCCTCGCGGCGGCTCGAGTCGCGGCAAAACTCGGCCCGTTTCCCTCACAAACCGCCCCTCTAGACACCTGGTGTTGAGGATATGATCGTCCCTAGCTTGAGAAGTGTTGTGGATTTAAAATCTACGATCGTAAGGCTGGAAACGATGTTGTTTTTCAGAGTCGGGGTCGGGGTTGACTAACTCTGAATGGGGGCTGGCTGTAAGCGATACCTCCCAGAACTACCCAGATTTTCCTCAAATATTGCCGCTTTAGAGGATATCTTCGTAGTTTTTCTGTACAAAACATGTCTCCCAATCATTCAGGGGGTTGTTTTATTCTCTCCGCCGTTTTGATCTCTGTAGAAAATGGAAAAATCTGAGCAGTGTTGAATGTCATCATGTGTAAACGATCGGCCGCCATCTTGGAAGTAGGGGCACGGGGGCTATCCGAGCACCAACATCCACACACAAACTCTCCGATTTCTCCTCTCCTGGTCACTCCAACCGCCACGAAACGAGCTTGTTTCTTAGCAGGGTCTTTAAGGATCGTGAGGAGGGGTGTGAGAAGACGTGGGGAGGGCGTAAGAAGGCAGGAGAAGGAGGAATGTGGGTTAGTCACGTGACCAACAACAATAACAACAGTAGGCTGCAGTATGGTGCTCACTTTGTGCTGATTTTTTAGAGGCAAGAGGCAAAAACACCAGAATATCTATTCACCAAACACATGCTTCTAGCTTTTGCTTGTCCTCTTAGGACAATTTTGAGGTGTAAGACAGAGATTTTGCCCCATTAGAAGGTTAAAAAGCCTTGATTATTCATATCTAGTGCTGCAGATAAAGCAAAAAAAAATCTGGTAGTCATTGCTGAGCAATAAAACACTCAGTCCAGAATGATCCAGCCACGGTTTTGTCATTTTCCTAAAAAATGATGTTAGAAATAAAATTTAGTCGAGGTTTTAGCCCCCATAGGTTTTGGGTTGTAAGATCGTCCTGTGATTTTCATGATGATCGTCCATTACCAAAACAAATGAGTGATTTCCTGTTTTATTGTGAAGGTATCAAACCATGCCTTTCATTTTGTTCTGTAGTCTTCTAGTTCAGAAAATCTGTATTATTACCTGTGTACATGTTAGTTCCCTTTGTGCTAGTACGAAATGGTAAACTAAAATCTCAAACGTAGATTTTTTTGCTCTACAGCCGAGTTCAGTTTTTTCAGCTGTATGAATCGTTTATCCCACTGGGATTTTTTTAATTTTTTTGCAAATCAGTTGATAAAACCTACATAGCTCATCATGAAATATGTAGCATGATTTGATATCCAGTATCAGCCCTTGCCCATATCGCAATCAAATCATAATCTGTTCGTGAGTAAATATGATTAGAAAATATAGATTATCGTATGTGTCAAATCCTTTGAAACCACAATAATACTTGTTGCTCAGACCACATAATAGAAATCCCTTGATGATAGATTAGATATATCATGCCCAGGCCAAAAACCAATGTAGTCATTTCCATGTGATATCCTGACCAGGCATAGAAAAAAAAATGTGGTTTCTGTTTCCTAGCAAAAACCTGCCGACCCTAGCCTTTTCTTGTCAACAATTGGCATCAAATTTTTGATCCAACATTTGAATTTCAAACCTTTTGAAATGATTTTCACAAGCAAATTTTTGTTGAGAAAATTGTGCGAAATATTATTTTTTATTATTAGTCCCTTCCCCACAAGCAAATAGAGGGATGTCTCCTAGTAAGAACCCAATATCTTGAGACAATTCAGTTTTAGCTTGCTAAATTTTTGCTCCAAAATACGACTTGCATTTGATGCAAGCACGTCTAACCCCCGTTTCGGGAAAAAATGAGTTAAAATTGAAAAAAAAAAATTCTACAGTGTATTTGTTTTATCACTTCAGCCAATTTCTAACCAAGAGAAAAAGAGAGAATCCCTGCTTACTGATCTTAGTTTTTCGAGGTCTGAAACGGGAAACACAACATCTTTTTCCTAGGTCTGGTATTAGTATCTGGGCTCCTAATTTTCCCTCCCTTTCCTTCCGACCAACCGTATGAAGGAAGTTCCTGTATCCAGATAAAAGCCAACATCCTATATATTCTGGCAGCTTATGAATGTTCTTTGGTGATGTAGCATGGCAACATTGTAAGGATGATCCTGATTTGTGTGTGAAATTTGGACTGAATCACTTCGCAATCAGTTGACGTGCATGGTAGCCATTATTTTATACAGTGAGTAGAATATGTGGTATATGTTAGCCTCTAGCAGGCCTCAGAAGTGCCTGGAAAAAGTAGAAACTGACTAAATAGGTAGATAAGATAATGGCCAATTTCTTCCATTTCCAGCTGCTTCTGAAGCCTGATAGAGGCTGACATCTAAATATTTTATCATATCATATGCATCATATTCATAGACAATTTGTAAAATATGACTGCCCAGTTCATTTTGTATTGTCATAACTCCAATTGTGAAAACATGTATTGGTGTATGGCAAGTGTTTCGACGGAAGTGTCACAGAAAGCAGATAGACTAGAAATGATTTTGACAAAGTACAAATGTTGAAACCAAACATTGAATTTTTAACTTCAACAAATTCCGCGAATGCATAGTTCCATTTTCTCAGACCGCAAACTTTTGCTACCACGAACATAGAGTGATTTACACATAGCCTAAAACCTTGAAGAACGTTCCCCCTCCCCATCCTGAATAAAAACCAGGTTTGCGAGGTAACCAAGATTTTTTAACTTCAACAAATTCTGCGAATGCATAGTTCCATTTTCTCAGACCGCGAACTTTTGCTACCACGAACATAGATAGAGTGATTTACACGTAGCCTAAAACCTTGAAGAATGTTCCTTCCCCATCCTGAATAAAAACCAGGTTTGTGAGGTAACCAAGATTTTTTAACTTCAGCAAATTCTGCAAATGCGTAGCTCCATTTTCTCAGACCGCGAACTTTTGCTACCGCAAACATAGAGTGATTTACACATAGCCTAAAACCTTGAAGAACGTTCCCCCTCCCCATCCCTGAATAAAAACCAGGTTTGTGAGGTAACCAAGATTTTTTAACTTCAACAAATTCTGCGAATGCGTAGCTCCATTTTCTCAGACCGCGAACTTTTGCTACCACGAACATAGAGTGATTTACACATAGCCTAAGACCTTGAAGAACGTTCCTTCCCCATCCTGAATAAAAACCAGATTTGTGAGGTAACCAAGATTTTTTAACTTCAGCAAATTCTGCGAATGCATAGCTCCATTTTCTCAGACCGCGAACTTTTGCTACCGCGAACATAGAGTGAATTACACATAGCCTAAAAGTAAAACCTTGAAGAACGTTCCCCCTCCCCATCCTGAATAAAAACCAGGTTTGTGAGGTAACCAAGATTTTTTAACTCCAACAAATTCTGCGAATGCATAGTTCCATTTTCTCAGACTGCGAACTTTTGCCACCGTGAACATAGAGTGATTTGCAGTTAGCCTAAAACCTTGCAGAACGTTCCCCCTCCCCATCCCTGAATGAAAACCAGGTTTGCGAGTGAACCTTGTGGGCTGAGGACCCGGGTAACACTAGCTCATTGTAGAGGCATTGTGGTTGTCACCTCTGGCAGGATGGAAAGAGTTCAAGCTGTTACAGACAGGGGGAAGGTCAGGTACAAACCAGCTTCAGTTTCAATGGCAGATAAAGAACCAGAGTGCTCGCAATCTAGGGAGGGTCTGGCGATAAATTTAGGATTGTCAACAAATGCAATTTATAACATTTTTAAAAACAAATCGTAGTGTTGAGAGTGGGTAGTACTAGTGTTGGTCCTTTGGATGTTTTTTTGTACTTTTACCAAAGATTTTTGTCAATTTTGTCCATCAAGGTTTAAAAACGTTTCCGTCACATGTCACAAAGGTACTGCATTTGATGGAAAATCAGGTACTGGCTATACTAGAGCTCTATAGCTAACGTTTTATGGTATGATTTTGTGGAAGGCTTTTCTGGAATTCTCATGTTGCAAATTCAAAACTCGGGTATAATAATAGATTATTGTGACACAGTAGTGTCCAACAGTCACTTGGAGACAAATTTTCTGCACAATTGTTTAAAAAAGATGACAAAACGCTTTGCTTTTTTAAGTTTTTCCTCTATTTTTTCACCCATGTCTTTGATGTTATTGGTCGATTTACTGTTCACTACGTGATAAAAATTGTACATTTTGGTTGATGTTGAGGAAAAAAGACAGTAATATACTGCGTGCGCATCATTGTATGTGTAGTTTCTTGTGATGACGTTACATTACTACATCACTACCACTACTGATAATTACCATGATTTTTTCTATAACCTATGCACCTCCGATTTGGTAGTGACGGAAATGTAGTGTACCTGTATTCAGGTGATATCACTCTGTGAGAGAAAGTATGGTGGTTTGGTTTCACATAACGGAACTCTGTTCTACTAATGGCCTCCGTATCTATAACACCTGTGAAACAGTAGCCGCATCAGGGAACTTCAAAACCCCTACAAGCTGACTACCATTACTTTACAGTTGTCTTATGACACAAACAAGCAACATAAACATAGATCTAGACCTTGGTTTGGAGTTTTTTTGCTCAGTTCAGCTGTTTTGAAAGAAGCCTTTTTGTCAGAATTTTCCTTTTAAGGCCACACCAATTTAATTTGTTGGTTCTCGGATTCGCCTCTTCGTTTTTTTCTGATTTGCAAAAAAAAAAAAAATTGATTCTGGTCCTGAATCAACTGAAAAATGTTCATGTTTTGCCCCCCAACAGTTGAGGAAAGTCCTTTTCTTCCTAGTTGTTACAGTTTTCCCATCTATCATTGCAGTGGTATGATTAAAAGTTCAAAATTCAATGTTTAAATTTTAACCCAGCCTTTTGTGTTGACTTCATGGCTCATTTTGTAGCATATAAGCCTATAATAGGATG